TGAAAAGCACGCTCAAGAACCCTATTTGATACCCAAAAGAATACATTGTATAAAATATAAGCGAATTCGCTTCAATAGCACGCTCAAGAACCCCAAAATTGGCATGAAGTCGCATTAGTATGGTCCAATAATGTAATTGGCAATTGTCTTCAGTCGTACACTCAGTACGATGGATAGCACTTTATATGTGATAAGGACGAAAAATATACCCGATATTTGGATCTTTTAGTGTTGGCATTGCCGTGTGATCATTGAAGTATAAAATAGTTTAAAATAGCTCCCATATTTCAAAAAAAAACCAGTAAGGAAAGTAGTAAAGTCGGACGGGGCTGACTATATGATACCCTTCACCACTATGGGTATATTAAACAGGACTATTAGCATGAAATGGGATGAAATAAAATATGTGATATTTTTCTAAATGTGGATCTACCTAGATCTATCCATAAACATGTCATTCGTTTGTTACAATGGGACACAAGTATGTAAATCGACTTCAAACAAATATAAATAAGTCATCCGTTGGGCTATGTCTGTACTTCTAGAAAACGCAACTACGTTATTCTATGCTCAATTTTGTACGTTGTGCAAAATGTGATGTCAATCTGACTAACATGAAGAGTTTGATGCCCAATTTACTTGAAATCGGGCGAAAATATATATGGAAGCTCTATCCAAATATTAAGCGATTTAAACAAACTTGTCACAGCTTAGGTTATACTAATTTCAGAACGTTCCTGGTGCGTCAATTATTTAAAATCAATCTATAAAAAAGGGAGTTATATCTAAATCTTGAACGATTTTCTCTAAACTTGGCAGACACCACTGTAGGCTTAATTCAGTACGTTATGCCAAATTTCGTGCAAATCGAAGGATACATAGGGACTTTGGTGCACCATTTACATAAAATCGGACGAAACTATATTTGGGAGCTATATCTAAATCTCGACCGATTTTCTCGGAACTTGGCTGACATCATTCTAGGCTCAATTCAGTACGTTATGCCAAATTTCGTGCAAATCGAAGGATATATAGGGACTTCGGTGCACCATTTACATGAAATCGGACGAAACTACATATGGGAGCTATATCTAAATCTGGACCAATTTTCACGAAACTTGGCAGACATCATTCTAGGCTCAATTCAGTACGTTATGCCAAATTTCGTGCAAATCGAAGGATATATAGGGACTTTGGTGCACCATTTACATGAAATCGGACGAAACTACATATGGGAGCTATATCTAAATCTGGACCAATTTTCACGAAACTTGGCAGACATCATTCTAGGCTCAATTCAGTACGTTATGCAAAATTTCGTGCAAATCGAAAGATATATAGGGACTTTGGGGTTCCATTTACATGAAATCGGACGAAACTATATATGGGAGCTATATCTAAATCTGGACCGATTTTCTCGAAACTTGGCAGACACCACTGTAGGCTTAATTCAATACGTTATGCCAAATTTCGTGCAAATCGAAGGATACATAGGGACTTTGGTGCACCATTTACATAAAATCGGACGAAACTATATATGGGAGCTATATCTAAATCAGGACCGATTTTCTCGGAACTTGGCTGACATCACTCTAGGCTCAATTCAGTACGTTATGCCAAATTTCGTGCAAATCGAAGGATACATAAGGACTTTGGTGGACCATTTACATAAAATCGGATGAAACTATATATGGGAGCTATATCTAAATCTCGACCGATTTTCACGAAACATGGCAGACATTATTCTAGGCTCAATTCAGTACGTTATGCCAAATTTCGTGCAAATCGAAAGATATATAGGGACTTTGGGGCACCATTTACATGAAATCGGACGAAACTATATATGGGAGCTATATCTAAATCTGGACCGATTTTCACGAAACTTGGCAGACATCATTCTAGGCTCAATTCAGTACGTTATGCCAAATTTCGGGCAAATCGAAAGATATATAGGGACTTTGGGGCACCATTTACATGAAATCGGACGAAACTATATATGGGAGCTATATCTAAATCTGGACCGATTTTCTCGAAACTTGGCAGACATTATTCTAGACCTAAATGATTAGGCTGTACCAAATTTCGTGCAAATCGAAAGATATATAGGGAGCGTTTACATTAAATCGGTTAAATATATATATGGGAGCTATATCTAAATCCGAACCGATTTTTCCCAATTTCAATAGGGTTCGTCCTTGGGCCGAATAAGTGACATGTGCCAAATTTCATCATAAATGCGACCTGTACTTTGTTTACAATTTAACATGCATAGAGATGGTATTTACCGGGTATTTACCGGGTAAATACCCAAGGGGTGGGTAAATACCGGGTAAATACCCATTTGCGGGTATTTATTTGGGTATTTACTATATTGACTCGGTACTACAACATCTTACACCCTATTTCCGGATTTCTGTTATCAAATCGATTTAGAATGAATAGTTTTACGATACTTTAAAGACGTGGGTAAATACTTGGGTAAATACCCGAGTTTTACCAAAAAATTGGGTATAAACTCATTAACTGCCGAACCACTTGACATAGGCGGCCACAATTTTGTTTCTAATGACAAAGCAAATATAGAAATCCAACATGGGGTCCCTGGGTCCAAGTTTTGATATAGCCCCCATATAACCATATCTCCCGATTTAAGGTATTTTTTGTTTATTAGACACATTTTACAACCAAATTGGCTGTAATTTGGCACAGAGTGCTCTTTTTGGGTACCAAATATCCATGCACAATTTTATGTATGTAGGTCCACGTTTACTGGTAGCCCCCATACAAAGGCACCCCTATTTTGAGTATTTACCCAAAAATTGGGTATAAACTCATTAACTGCCGAACAACTTGACATAGGCGGCCAAAATTTTGCACACGTGTTTCTAATGTCAAAGCAAATATAGAAATCCAACATGGGGACCCTGGGTCCAAGTTTTGATATAGCCCCCCTATAACCGTATCTCCCGATTTAAGGTATTTTTTGCCTATTAGACACATTTTAAGGCCAAATTGGCTGTAATTTGGCACAGAGTGCTCTTTTTGGGTACAAAATGTCTATGCAAAATTTTATGTATGTAGGTCCACGTTTACTGGTAGCCCCCATACAAAGGTACCCCTATTTTGAGTATTTACCCAAAAATTGGGTATAAACTCATTAACTGCCGAACCACTTGACGGCCAAAATTTGGCTCGGATGGTTTTTATATCAATACAAATATTGAAATCCAAAATGGGGCCCCTGGGTCCAAGTTTTGATATAGCCCCCATATAACCGTACCTACCGATTTAAGGTACTTTTACGATCAAATTGGTTGTAATTTGGCATAGTGAGATTTTCTTTGCACAAAATATTCATGCAAAATGTGGTTTTTGACACACATGGCTTAATATCAATATTATTTCCTGTATGGGAAAAGGGGTCTTCAAAACACACGTCAAATAGTTCGGCTGTAAAAGAGTTTATAAATATATATAAATACCCAAAATCAGAACCGCTATATAGGACAGAAAAAGTTGACCAGAGCAAACAATTGGTACTCATAGAGAACTCTCTAAGCCAAATTCCAGCCAATCAAATTGGCTAATAGATAAAAATGTCCCATGTTGGATTTCTATATTTGCTTTGTCATTAGAAACATGTGTGCAAAATTTTGGCCGCCTATGTCAAGTGGTTCGGCAGTTAATGAGTTTATACCCAATTTTTGGGTAAAAACTCGGGTATTTACCCAAGTATTTACCCACGTCTTTAAAGTATCGTAAAACTATCCATTCTAAATCGATTTGATAACAGAAAACCGGAAATAGGGTGCAAGATGTTGTATTACCGATTCCGTATAGTAAATACCCAAATAAATACCCACAAATGGGTATTTACCCAATTTACCGGGTATTTACCCAATTTACCGGGTATTTACCCTTTGGGTATTTACCCACTGCCCATCTCTAAACATGCACAGACAGACAGACGGACGGACATGCATAAATCGACTCAAAAAGTGATTCTATGCATATTCTCAGAAGGAACCGTGTGTCTATGTCGTTTCCTTTTGTCTGTTACAAACATATGCACAAAGACATAATACCCTGTACCACAGTGTGGTGAAGGGTATACAAATATTATTTGGTTGTCTATTGAATTCGATCCTACACAAATCCAAGAATTCCCTTTTAAATTTCAAGCAAAAATCTCAACAATTCTTGAAGATATAGCCGATTTATTGTGACAGCATCAATGTTTTGACGAATTACCTACATGAATTAACCCGTTCATACAATACTATTCTTAATTCATATCAGCAGAATTTTCTTTGTTGTTTGTTCTTTTACACCGAAATCGCAACTTATTTGTGTGTTATGAATTTTATGAATTTAAATAGAAAAAATTATTCTCCATCTTCGGAATATAGTAAGAACCCATAGCTATTAACTTTTCATTCATGTTTTTGAAAATCTTGTTGTTTTTAATACATTTTAATATTTTCTCACATATAAAAAATAACAACAACAAAATTATATCAATAATTTTTTTTATCCTTTATGTCTTTAAGTGCTTACATATATACAAACTGACAAGTCATTAATGTGCATAAATGCACGTCCATTAGCCAGCCGATTGAAAATCATCTGGTGTATAATTGAAATTATTACACCTCTAGTAATGTTTACCCTCTCGAATATGTGATCACCATTTTTGAACACAATAAAACAATTTACGAAATAAAAGTTCTTTACGACTTTATTCATTGTTCAATGCACATATATAAAATAAAACATTTTAAAATAATTATAACATGGCTAAAATATACATAATAATATTATTTGTTAACGCTTACACAATTCACAATAATATGACTTAAGATTTGTATAAATGAAAATGTAATTTCTTCAGATCCTATACACGATACACATTTGTTTAATAACAGCATACGACGCATTTTGAGAGTTTAGGGATTTGCGGGGAAATTTATTTACAACAAAAATTAAAAGCAAACCTTGTTGGCATTTAACCTCGTCCAAATGTATTACGGCCACCCGAAGAGGGTTCCTGTGGTGGTGGTGGAGCTGTAGCTAAATAGGCCAAAGCCTTTTGTATGGCCTCTGGAATTGGTGGTGGTGTGGGAATATGATCACCCTGTGGAACAAAACCATTCTCATCGGCTGCATATGTAATACGAATGGGAGTGCCATCAGGTGCTGTATAGGAGAAGAAACCTTCGGCAACCTAAAATAGTGCAGAAAAAACATTTAAGCGATTATTGAAAGGAGAATAAATTGTTTATTTGTATTTGCGATGATTCATTAATTCCAGATTGCCAACTTTTGATATTGGTATTGGAGAAAAGAAATAAACTGCAAACGAGTGAACATTTTGTCCAAATGTCGAAGTGAACTAAGCTAAACGTTGTTTTATAGCCGGCAACAAATTGTTAAATCGATTTGCCAGCTTCAGTTGGTAGTGGTGATGTTATTGACGCCGGTGCTAATGTTAGTAGCTGCTGGTGGCCCCAACCAACCGGCAGTGCATCTTGAACATGACAAAATTAAAATGTAATACATCTTGCTATGAATGCCTGGCGGGGCAATATAAAGCGATCGTCTTCTTGCTGTTGTTGCTGTACTTTTAAATGTCACAGCATCAGTGCGGCATTTTACAATGAAAAATGGTTAATGTTGTTCCTCATTCATCAGATACTAGTCCGAATTGCTTGCTGAAAAATGGGTGTTAATCTTACAGCTTATTGTTCTTTTGTTTATCGCTGTACCTATTAAAAGGTATCTTCTTGGTTTTTTTAAATAAAACGCTTCTTTACATCGTATTATGTACCGAAATTTTGGCAACTGTGTTTTCTGTGTGGTGCTCTATTATTAATTGCGGAATTTCTATTGTTTAAAAGTTCGTTATCAAACGTTATGATTTACCTGTGCTTCTGCATTGCTGCCAGGATTTTTCAGATAACCCTGTTCTTCGGCTATAATTCCATTACCAGTTTCATATGAATACTTGTAGGAACCATCAAAATTTACTTCTTGCTCCTGCCTAAGAATTGGTATGACTTCTTGTGGCCGTGCAGCAACAACTGCCAAAAATAAAGCCAATGTCAAAAATATCTGAAAAAATAGAAATACGATATATTTTATATTTATACTATAATTTCCTCTATGAGTTATGAGGTCAAACAGGCAAAATAATCTACTCAGGTTTTTTTGATTTTTCGAAAGCTTCAAAGGAGAGAAACCGCTTATACTGAATTCTATAGATAATACACGGACTACAATATATGTATGCCCAAACCATCTAACATTTCTTGTTATACCCTCCACCATAAGGTGAAGTTAATATTATTTGTCAGAATAAAAATCACAATAGAGCTCGCAATATAAAGAAACACCGGTACCGGTGTTTATCCGGTATTTGGGGATTATGGGGCCTTTTTTACCCTAATTGACTGTAATCTTCGTGTCAAATATTCCTACCAAAAAATGATCATTGCACAGTCCGCGATATATATATATATAAAGTGTTGTGTTTTTTACAGTGACTTGTAAAATTAATCAACCAGATTGTCACATACTTCGGCGTGAATTATCACAACAAGAAAATATCGTTGATCTAAATCTTTGTATTCTCTCTCATAGACATGGTCGTCGAAAAAAGACGGTTCGGCCCAGGAATATTTATGACGCTAGAGAACTGATAATGCTAAATCGTCACGTCAAATACCTTGAGATAGATGCAATCCTGGACATCCTCGATCGCAAACTGGATCTATGCGAATCATAGTGATATAATCGTAAAGCCCGAAACAAAACAACAATCCGCCATGTGGGTCTCCAAAAACGAGCCTAATCCATCGTAACTGACTCGTGAAATAATCACTTCGAAGCAATTGTCCGCCGGTTTATTTCGGCAAAACTGGTCATGTGACAACTGTTCGGCTTGAGCAATGTAAGATGGTTAATTCGAAAGGATTTGCTTGCCTAAAGTCCTCGGAGTAATTAAAAAATAAACAAGTGAATGCGACTTAATGTACATCATGCCACTGCGAACTTTCACACATCTACTCAAGCCAGTGGCTTTTGGACCGACTAAAACGTGGAATTTATGAGTAATACACCATACAACCATGTCTTGGCACCTAATTCTCGCTCACAAAAAAAAGAACAATCCACGGGTTTCGTCACAAGAAGATTGCGTTCAAAAAACCTTTATATCGACAATTGGTTTGATCGCATTGCGTTTGCAACATCTCGAAAAATTCGTCGTTGACCTCATTCAGATTTTTGTACTGACATTGATATTACTCATAGGATATTTGTTATTGAATGTGAGATATATCGGTACACGTTTTGGGATAGTTCCAATATAACGGTACCGCGAAATTGTTGGTATTTTGAAGCGTTCATGCGTAGTTTCCATGTATAAACCAGTAAGGAAAGTCGGACAAGGTGCATTATATGATACCCTTCACCACTTCGGATACATACAAGATATGATAATATGACATAGCATCTTTGGAAGGCAATTGAAATGGAATCGGGCGAAATTAAATTTGTGATCTATATAGATATTTGAACTAATAAAAAAAACCATGCAGGCTTGGATTTTTGTGTGTATCATTTGTATGAAATCTAGCAAAATTATGTATGAGAGTTATATGTAAATATGTACCGATTTCAACAAAACATCGCAGACATCAAACTAGACTTAATTCAATACGCTGTGCAAAATTTTTTGTAAATCGGACAAATATTGGGAATTTGACGCACAATTTAGTTAAAATCGGACCAAACTATATATGTTAGCTATATCTAAATCTAAACCGATTTCAACAAAAATTCATAAACAACAAATTGGACCTAATTCAGTACGTTGTGCAAAATTTTGTATCAATCGGACAAATGTTGGGAGTTTCCATTTAAATAAAAATTCGGACGAAAAAATATATGGGAGCTATACCTAAATCTGAACCAATTTTCTTCTATTTCAATAGGGTCCGTCCTTAGGCCAAATAAGTGACATGTGCCAAATTTCATTCAAATCGGATCATAAATGCGACCTGTACTTCCTTCACAAAAATATTTGGACGGACGGACGTGCATAAATCAACTCAGAAAATGATTCGGATTCCGTGATGTTGTTTGTATATCCTGGAGGAGTGGGTAACCTTTAAATTGATACCAATCATTATATTCAGATGTTGGAGTTTTACGTAAAAATCTTTAAAGGGGTCTTGTTTAGTATTACTATGGTCCCACTAGAAGGCGGAAATTTCGTGCCGATCGCATTGAAATGTTACATAAAGTTCCGGTTATTGTCAAGGACTACGCATATATTGTTAAGATGATTTTTAAGGGGTGCAATGAACCAAAACTTTATTTTCGTCAGATTTTCTAGTCGTTCTAGAGGTCATTATTATATGCAGAACATCACATATTTTACACGGTCAAGGGGATCTGACGAATTACTTAGAACCGCTGTTTAGATAATGATCGGTCAATATTCCTGAGAACAAATCAACCTACACCTAAAGTGATAACCTTTTTTATATCATGGCGTAAATATTAACCTCTGGAAAATAAGATTTGGAAAATATGCCACGGTTAGAAAGAGGAGTTGTTGACCTATAATCGGACAATAGGGTGCTAATGTCGAGAAATATTGCCCAGAATATAGAACCGTAGAAAGTTAATATTTCGTGGTAGTTGTTCAGGGTATCGTATGATCAATGGTTTTAATTTAGCATAGGCCATATTATTTTGGGCACACGTCGATGTTAAATTGTTTAAATATTTAAGTCATTATATTAGACAAAATTTATAAATTTAAAGTGTTCTTTCATATGATTTGTTTTGTATATATGTATGTAGATTCAAGCAGCGGCTGTTTTTTCGTTTGATATCATGCAATTTGATCCTTGTGTTAAATCTATTGTGTTAAATTATTCACACATAAACACACACATCCGAATTACTTTAATAAATTTTTAATATTCACTTTAAACACTTACTAAATTATTCATTTTATTCTAAATTAAGGATTTCTATATCCTGGCTCTTTGACTCAACTCGAAGAATATCACACACAGTTCAGAGTTCTCGTAAGACTATGCATTTTTGGCCAAATGTCTGGATTATTTATACTCGATTGAACATTTGTAATGACGAAGAGATGAACTGAAGTTTGAACATCATTGGGAGACACCATACCAATACTGCCACAGAGTCAAGCACCAACACACACACACACTGTCGTTGGTTCGTACATCATAGATTGAATTGCACATAGCAACTGCCACATAAATAAACATGCTGATACTGCTGCCGCGGCAATGTCTGCAATATCTGTCATACAGTTCAGATTCACTTGAACTTTACATTTGGTCGCCCCACTACCACAAAAAAGCAACAATAGAAAAGAAGTGACTGCAACCAACGCCAATATCAACTGCAACGTTTGTTCTTTTCTCTGAATATGACTGTTGGATTATTTTGGGTGTCGGTTTGGTGTCCGTCCGCCGGTCTAACTATTCTTCTTCGAAAAAGGTGTTGTAAATCTTCTTAGCTAAATGATTACAGAATTTATGGAAACTATTTAGTTTTTATTGGAAAACTGAATTATTTTTGCATTAAGGAGTTTTTATGAATAAACAAGTGAAAAAGCGGTAAGTTCGGCCGGGCCGAACTTTGGATACCCTCCACCATAGATATATTGACAGGTACTAGAAATAAAAATATAGGGAACATACCAAAAAGTGGACCTATACCGACATTTCTAAAAACGGATTATGTAAACCATAATTAAAAATTTTAGAAAATTTTAAAGGATAATTATACTCTCAGCCTTATGGCTAATGAGGGTGTATAGACTTTAACACGGTGAAAATGTGTCTCATCGAAATATTGGTTCTAGACCCCATGTTTCTTTGGACCAAATCCGTTTCAGAAAATTTAGATTTCATCCAAACTTTGCCCATCTTATTATTTCTTCCAAGCTTAGTTCAAATTCTCGAACTTCCAATCAGGGGCTAGGTCTAAATGCGGCTATAGTTAATTATCGAACCTTACGTTCTAATTGTTTATCTCTCTATCCTCCGCAGGTGAAATGATTACAAAAGAGACTTAGAACCAAACTAAAACGCAAATCAGATAACTATTTTAATATAAAAAAGGGGGTTATATGGGGACTACCCCAAAAAGGGGGTGAATATTAAAAAATTTTGGTAGAGAGATTTGTTACCATATACGACTACAAATTACCAAACTGCAGCAAATTCGGTTGAAAAATGCGCTCAAGAACCCCCAAATACCGAAAATTGGGGGTACCCTTATATGGGGGCTATCCGAAAAAATGGACCAATATTCATAATTTTTGGTGGAGAGATTTCGAACCTATTAGGAACCCAATGTACCAAATTTCAGCGTATTCGGTTGAAAAACGCGCTCAAGAACCCCAAAATTCCGAAAATTGGGGGGTACCCTTATATGGGGGATATCCGAAAAAATTCACATATGTTTATAATTTTTTGTGGAGATATTTGGTACATATTAGAACTCGAAATACTAAATTATAGCCAATTCGGTGGAAAAATACAATCAAAACCCCCAAAATACTGAAAATTAGGAGGTACCGTTATATGGGGGCTACCAGAAAAAGTGGACCTATATTTATAATTTTTTGTGGGGACATTAAGTACCCAATAAGAACCCAATGTACCAAATTTCAGCGTATTCGGTTGAAAAACGCGCCCAAGAACCTCAAAATACCGAAAATTGGGAGCTATGTCTAAACGTGGACCGATATATCCTATCTTCGAACTTGACCTGCCTGCAGACAAAAGACAACCCTATGCAAAATTTCAACATCCTATCTCAATTCCTTCAGAAGATAGCGTGATTACAACAGACGGACGGACGGACAGACGGACGGACGGACGAAATGGCTAGATCGTCTTAGAATTTTACCCTGATCAAGAATATATATACTTTATAGGGTCAAATGAATATTTCGATGAGTTACAAACGGAATGACAAAATTAATATACCCTCCATACTATGGTGGAGGGTATAAAAATGTAATTGCATATAATCTCTATAATTAATTGAATTTTTATAGACAAAAACAAAAAAACATATATAAATAATTCTACGTGAATCATGTCACGGTGGAATACATTAAGAAACGATAAATGGGATTCTGGATTCTAGGCTATTCACCTATCCGAAAACTATGGTATTCCAATGTTAGTGACATAAAGCCGCTAGCATTTAAAAATATTTAAATTAAATCCAATAACCAAGTCTTGCATAATAAATTACGCCCCATTTGACTCATCCTTGGAGCATCGAAAAAAAACCGGATTTTACAAAAGTGTGGAAAAGACAAATGTTTAGCCATTGACTAATACACCTACCTACCGTATGTGCCATAGTGTAATAGATATAAACACGGTCAATTTGACAGTACAATCCAAAATATTCTTAATGATATTAATTTGTATTGTTGACCACAGCAAATGCGCCAGTGGTACTCAAACTGTTATGGAAATATTCAGTGGTGTGCAGAAGCAAGTGTTTGCACTAAAAACGCAAATTAAAAATGTGTTAAATGAAATATTTTTCTAATCACCTCAGATCCGCCGTCAATGTTCGTCTAAATTAATAGGGGCTGATTGGCACTGTCCCATCTGTCTCTTTAGGATTGACGAAAAATTGTCCTTCCGGGTGGAGGTTGGGAATTAGTGCCGGCCACTGCGTTAATTGAAAATGTTGCTAACCAAGATATTTTACCACGATTTTGGACGTGTGCTCATAATTTCATGTTCTACAGGATAGGCCTCCTTATCTACCAAAACCGGTTGATTTGACTCAATGCTCTCAATAGGTTTCTTTTATTATTTTATCGTCAATTTGTTGAAATCAGTTCAACGTCCCACAAATTAAAGTCATCCATATTATGAGGATTCCTCAACCGAGCTTTACATTGCGCCTTTGAGTTAGTTTTCATCAGCAATAATGATGGATCCGTTGGACTAGATAACACGTTTCCTGTCGACCACTGTTCAACTTTTGGGCTCGTGTAAAAAACTTTACCCTGACTCTGCAGTTTTTACCGATAATAAAGGTTTTTATCTTTTTTTTACTACTGCTATAACCAATGTCCGGAAAGTCCTCTCTTCATGCCTTCCACAAACTAGCAGGTATGACGAGTACTAACGAAGAATATTTTGGTGTTAAAATTTATCAATTTACATTTTCCTGTTCATTAGACGTGGGCCCACACAACATATAATCATTTACGACGTCTAATTTGAGTTTAGAGAACCACGGAACACATTTGTACCCTTAGGACCAATAATTGGGGAACCTTAAGTTTTTCTGCATATATCAGGTGAGCAAAAAACAAAAAAGGCAATATTTAAGGTAAGCATAGAATATTGGGTATTTTTCGAACCATTATAAACATATACCGATATTGATAATTTTTTGCATGGAGATTTCTTGGATTACGCTTATGGCCTACATCGACATGTTTCACAATCAATTTTACTACTCAATAAAATTTACAAATTACAATTCTACACTCTATTTGTTTGGAAATGCCTACAACATCATCGATATAATAAAAATTGTCCAATAGAAAGTTCTCGTTAAGTTCGACCAGGCCACATATGTTATACCCTTCACCATAGAGTGTGTATTCGATATATTTAAATACGGTTTGAACATTTATATGGATGCAATGTTACAGTACATTTTCTGTCGGAAGGCTCAAGAGTTCTGAGAAAACAAAATATCATATGAAAGACAGGTTGTCAGGTTGTATCGTTTCACTATAGAACATTTCGCCCCACATCAAATCGGACGACGTTCATAAATATAAGTCCATGTTTTGGCAAAGCCTCCATATAATGGCTACGCCCATGTTTACACAAAATATTCAAAATAGATTAATGTTTTGACATATAATCAATCTAATGATCCCGTCCCACTTAATGTATTCTGATAGTCATAAGCGTATGTTCCGACCGAAGTGACAACAATATCTGTGTAATATGGCTCCTATATAACAGCCTCGTCCGTATGTTTCGATTGTTCAAAGTCCTAACAGAATTTTCCAATATGAGGGTCCACAGCACGATCTGCATTTCACTTAAAAAATATATCGACATAAATCAGCTTTAAAATTGATTCCGTGTATATCCTCAAAAGTAACTTTGTTTCCAAGTTATAAAATAGTAATGGTGTGATTAAACACCAAAACTATTACAATGTCACAACAAAAGAACAAATGTCATCTATCGTCATATTTTAAATGTGTTATATCTACATCCACTACAATGTCCATTACGCTTCTCGTATCCAATATTTGTCTAAATCCCGAACGTGTGGGAATCTCTGGCTTATTAGCAATCCAAACAATTGTAGACAACTTAAAATTTATTTGCTCAATTGAAATATAAATGGATTTTAGATATTAATATAAAATCATCATTTAAAAACACAGACGAAGAACATCGGACATTTGCAACATCTACGCCCATATGCAGTTACACGGATATGTTCTTATGTATTGCTTTGGCATTTTTACATATGTTGAAACATATGTATAATTCTGATATATTTTATACAAATATATACAACAAATCAAAGAGAATAAAACTCATCTTCGGCGGATGTTCAAGTCGTTTGTGACTAGATTTTCGTCATTGCCGTTGTTGTTTGTGTGCCAGTTTGTGTGGCGTGTTCAATATCGAACATCAATTTGTCAGACATTTAATAGTTGGCTGACAATCATCTTAATCGTGTCTTTTGCATTTGGCCGCCAAGACTTGTTTGTCTCAATGGATGAATGGTTATGTGTATGAGTGTATGTATTAATGTTTGCTTGGTTGGTGGTTATTTGTCTCGACTGCCTTTGGTTAGTCGGAGGAATGCGATCCTAAGCTCTACAATCTGAAACAAGTGAACTTTTGCATTTGCCTAGCAAAAGTTCTTCCACCAATCATTTTTTTCATATTTTACAGCATCTTCGCATCATATATTTTTTTTTTTGAGTCGCTTGGTTTCTATGCTATATGATGAAGTGGTCAAGACGTAACCCCACCTCTATTGTCTAACACTCACGAAGTGATTAAAGTTGTTAATGTTAAACAACAACTCCTACAACCGAAACTGACAAATAACAAATTCTTTAGACAAAAATGTGAATTTGAATGGCATTACGAATATTTCTAATAATTGCCATTTTTTCTGCTTAAGAATATCTATGTTTGTATGTAAATATGTATAAACACCAATCTGTCTATGTAATGATTTATGAGGCAGTAGCTATAGTCTATTTTTCAATGTTGGCAAAAGCAGATATAGGCTTGAGTTCATTATATCAGCGTAATAATGAGTAATGAAAAACTTGTTAGTCATAAATTCATGTGAATTGTAAGTCTGTTTTGTGAAGTTTGCACTTCGTTGGACGCGTCGGATTTTAATATTAACAATTGCTTTTAATATTGACTGGATTTTTGTTTCAAAGGAAATACCTGTCTTTATACCTCTCAAAACTATATTGTCAGGGTATTATATCTTTGTGTGGCCCAGATTTTTGTAAGCCAGCGAAATATTGGTCCTAGATAACCTTTTTAGTATACCGAATCGATGTATACATTTGTACCCGTCCGTATGTCCATTATAATTGGTAAATACGATACAGACCACAATTGTGGATCAATTGTCACGATATTTCACGCACGTAGGGTGGACCAAAGAAGACCCCTATTGGTATTGGTAATGATCGGTTAATATTTAGTAGATGAAATGCACCAACAACTTTGCTTTTGTCTGTTTTTCTGGTCGCTCTGGAGACTACAATTCGACCAGAACATCACGAAATTTCACACAGATAACGGAGTCTGACCATTGAATAATAATGACTGTTGTGGTGAAAATCGGTCAATATTTAACGGGTCAAATGGACCCAGATCGGTTAATATTTAGTAGATGAAATGCACCAACAACTTTGCTTTTGTCTGTTTTTCTGGTCGCTCTGGAGACTACAATTCGACCAGAACATCACGAAATTTCACACAGATAACGGAGTCTGACCATTGAATAATAATGACTGTTGTGGTGAAAATCGGTCAATATTTAACGGGTCAAATGGACCCAGACATTTTATTCTATGGCGTATATATTTATTCCTGAAGAACTTAGACCCGAGAAGTTGACAGTATATCCAAGAGAAGTGGTTCACCCTTAAATTCAATCCAATTTTATATTTCTATCTAGTCGAATTTGGGTAAATACTTACGTATTCTCATATTATTTAGTATTGCCATCACCACATAGGAGGGTATACATTTTGAGCTGATGGCTAGGAAATTTTTCATGATGTTCCGGTTATGGCCATGGACTCACTCGACTTTACATTTTCAATGGGGAACGCTTTCAATGGGTCAAATGAACCAAATAACAAAATTTGAATCTTACGAATATTGAGAAATTTTTTACCCCCGGAAAACAAAACTGAAAAAAAATCACGCAAAGGAGATGTTGAACTCTAATAAATCAATAGAAATATTACCCAGGCTCGGAATATAGATCTGCAGAACGTAGAGCTCAGTGGTAGTTGTGTAGGGTATCATATTGTCGCCCCGTCCGACTACAACGCTCACTGGCTTTATGTTACATAAGTTAGTTTTTCTCTTTCGAATCGAACTTAATATACATCTAAATCTGAACTCATTTCAGCGTGACTTATCACTTAAGACTTAAGTCAGCGCGCTATGCCAAATTTCGTGAAAATCGAAAGATATATAGAGACTTTGGTACACCATTTACATTAAATCGGATGAAAATATATATGGAAGCTATATCTAAAACTCAACCGATTTTTCCCAATTTCAATACGGTTCGTCCTTGGGTCAAATAAATGAGCTGTGTCAAATTTTGTTCAATTCGGATCAAAAATACGACTTGCACTATTTTTCAATTTAACATGGAGAGACAGACGGACGGACATGCATTAATCGACTCAGAAAATGATTCCATGCATATTCTAAAAAATTGCCAATATTGCCCATATATGATACGGCTACAGCTTTTGTATACAACAAAAGTCGTGAAGTGCATGTCCGATTTTTGTACTTTCCTTAATGTTTCTATAGCCTCAGAATTATGGCTAAAGTGTATAGCCATTATTCTGAGGCTATAGAAACAGTTCAGAAAAATGTGTCTCATAGAAATATTGAGCCAAATCAGTATCTGACAATTTGATATCGATTTTCAAATGCCCTCACACCAACAATTGCTCCCATGTTATACACAAGTTTTTGCGCAACGTTCGGAAGTATAGGTGCAAAGCCACTTAGCCCAATATGCCTGAGGAGTCGCTTGACCAACGGCAAAACGCGTCGCATTATGATGGATGTCAATGTTCTTCCCCTGGCTTTTCTTTTCAACAATAAGTTGGACTCGACTTGATTTATGAATAACATAAAATTTAAACAAAAGACTTAAGCAACAAACTTCAATGACGGCCAGATGTTAACTAATCTACTTAATAGTTCGATCTATCAATAATTTGTGGAAATTTTGATCAGAACAATGTGTTAATAGATTTAAACATCATGTTTTGAACATTTTGGAATCTTTTGCTGGTTCTCAAATTAAAATATCATGATGCTACCAACTGCTGAAGCTACTAGAATAAAAACAACAAAACAAAATACTAAGAAAACACACACAATGACAACACTTAAATTAATTAGACATTGTTATTTATTTTATTTTCGATTTAGTTTTGTTTTTGCTAGCCAGACTCTTTGTCTGTCCGTCTTGTTAAAAATTCATTTATGAAAGAAATGCTAAAAATGAACAAACGACAAAAATAAAAACAACAACAAACGCACATAAGAAATAATAATATGACATCAAACGTCAACACTGCAATGGGACATGATTGTATTTTTTTGGCACCTATGCTAATTATTTAACTAAAAATTTACATAAATAATGAATGAGCACCTCGACCACTGACATGTTCACCTAACATATGATTTGTTTTATTTCTTTCTTTTGGGGGTTTTTTGGTTTGTTTTGCTTGTTTTAATTACGTTTTCTTCGGATCTTCGAAAGGAAACTAGTTTCGATTTTTTCCTTCGAATTTTTTGCTTGCAAAGTTTCCTAAAAAAACCGAAACTCAAAAAACAAAAGAACAAATAATTATTAAATACATTTTGATTGACTTCGTATTCCTACACTTTGTCATTTTTCGTAATTTAGTTGAAATTTAGTATAAATGCGTTTATACTCGAAAGTGGAAGCCACAGTTTCAATTTGTAAGCCATAGAAACAACATAAATCGAAATCCAAACATGAAATTCTTCGTAAGTATTCAAATCAACAGAATTGCTAAAGAATGAAAGTTATTCATTGGGAACTCTCATTTCAATTATAGATTGTTTTCGCTTGCCTTTTGGCCGTTGCCTTCGCCAACGAAGATGCCAACGTTATCCGCAGTGATGCTGAAGTTAATGTAGACAGCTTCAAATATGCCTACGAATTCGACAACAGCATCAAGGCTCAACAAGAAGGCAAATTGGCTGGTGAAGATACCTGGATCGTCAACGGTCAATACTCGTACACCTCTCCCGAAGGTGAACAAGTCTCTTTGCAATACACCGCCGATGAAAATGGTTTCCATGTCGATGCTGCCAATCCTTTGTTGCCCACCCCACCACCAATTCCAGACTACATCCTCAAGGCTATTGAATACATCAAAGCCCACCCCAACCCTGAATTGCAAAATTAAGTTAATAGATGGATAATTGTTATTTTGTTGAATCTGGATTGAAATAAATATTTTGTGATCTATAACTATGTATTTTCTGTTACGTTGGTTCACAAATCTGCACCGATTCCAACAAAACTTTGCATACATCAATCAATTAGAAAAATTATATATCTGGCTCTGTTATGAAAAAGGATTATTGATCATTCGCTCAAAAATTAGCAAAATGGTAAACATAGGAAAATTATTTTTTGAAAAAACCTGTGTACGTTGCTGCTCGTGCACATAGTGATATTTTATCATTGCCGGAAACTGCGTAAGATTTCTTAAATAAGTGTGTTATATATCAATATAACAATTTTTCATTAAAGATTCCGACAAAGTTTTAGGTTAACAAAAGAAACCTTTAATTACGTGCTTTCAAAATTATATTTTTTTTGCGACAAACCTCTACATCATTCCATCCAGTACTTCCGTTAGCTGAAACGACTTCGTATTGGGTTGGAGTCAAATCGCAATATCAAAAACGGTTACAGGCGTTGCATATACGTTCCGAATTCCTGGAGGTTTTAACGTGATTTTAGTTGTGATGTCGGAAGTCGCAGGCTTGTTTCCGGCTACACCCGAGTATTGATATCCTTCCTATTGGCGGCCAATTTATTAAATTTTAGAATTTAAGATATTGAATTAATATATGAACTTGAATTCGCACAACAAATTGTTTCAAATTCCGTGCGAAGTTGTTTACGATTTAGGAATCAAAACAACTTACCGTTCGATATTTTGGGGCATGTAAACAACAAGCAACAAAATGCACGTCAGAGGGCGTTGACTTGTTGCTGAGTTGTAAACAACAAGCAACAAAACACACGGTAATGGGTTCTGATGTGTTACATGGTTGTAAACAACTAGCAACAACACACACGGTAAGGGGTTCTGATGCGTTGCTTGTTCGTAAACAACAAGCAACAACAACACACGGTAAGGGATTCACACTGGTCAGCGGTAAGAAACAACAACGCGCGTGCGTAGAGACTGCGATGCGTCGCCAAGGAATAACGCACAACAACAGTGTGATCCTGAAGGTTGCGACGACGGTCCTATAAAAGGGCGAACAACGAAAGCTGCGGGGACAGTCGTGAGAGAAAAGCAGACAGCACAAGGACCAGACGAGGAAATATCATAAACCCCTTTTAACAGGAGAGTCCATCCAGAATCGAGGAGTGAAGAGGACTGAAGGTGAAGTGAGCTTCCCGTTGCCACTGAAACCACCGACCCCTGACTCACGAAACAACAGGTGAGTTGAGATTGCCACCTGCACCGTTCACGGAAGATGTGAGTTTGGACAAGCCACATCCAGGCCCCTCGACGTACCCCTAGTGAGTTTTCGTACGCCACTAGGACTCCAGGTTACCCCAGGCCCCCAGTCAACCAAGCGACTCTTTCTAAGCGGTGGGCGCTAGTGAGTTGTCCTAAGCCACTACGCCTACATAACGCAGAGGTGCTTCCGTCATCCAGGTGGCAGCTCTAGGCAATTGGCCCCGGCCAGATCACTGGCCTCATCCCAGCGTAGTCCCCTTGTGCGAGACTAGGGTAGGTGTTGGCATAACCTACCCTAGTCTCGCACAATATACCCAATATCAACTGTACTGAAAACGAAGCAATAAAACCCTCCTATACTAAAAAACAACAGACTTCTTTCCTTACTCTTGTCGCTGACAGAAATAAATTTCTGTGACGGACTCTGGCCGCCGGGAGCTTTCCCCAGCAATTCGGTGGACAATTGAGTCGTTACATAGTTTGGTAATTTGCTTTGGAATCCCACAGATGGATCTGATGAATCAAAGTTCAATGAAATTCAATCTTCTGCCAAGAGTATAATTTTTGAGATTTTCACTTGAAATTTAAAAGAGACAGTCTTGAGAAGTTATAGATTCATATTAAATAAGAAGAATCGATTTTTTGAACCCCAGAATGGAGGGGGGAGTGATGGTCCCTTAATACCTTTATGTTAACACTAACCTGACTCTTTTTCCCATATATGAGCCTTGTTTTAATGAATCCATACAAGTGACATTCGGAAATCTATGCATACCAATCGGGCTGACTTATAGCCTAGACAGACGACAGCCTTAATTTGCATTAACAGCCTTAATTCAAATTAACTTGTACATTATCCTCATTTTTATGTGTTGTTAATGCACAAAATCAAACTGAATTTATACTGAATTAAGCAATTTCAATATGGCAATGCTGTAGAAAATAAATTGATTGTTGTCAAATTTGTTTACGTTTACGAAAATAAAAATTAAAAATAAAGGCAAAATTCAACATTTCTTCAAATTTGGAGCTGTTTTATCTTCATTATAGCTGTTAGTTTTCCTTCCTGCCATGTATCAATTTCAAAAAGATGTAATCCTAAAAAATATTGTAAAGAAATATTTTCTTCCTATACACAGACAAACAATAGTTTTGAAACAAAAAACTGGTTCATAAATGCAGAAACTCTAGTCTGTCAGGGGTAAATTTTAATTCAAATTAAGAACTTTTTAATGCAAATTAAGGCTGTCGTCTGTCTATGGTATTAGACTCGTTGGTGTATCATTTGTCTGAAATCGAACAAAATTATGTATCAGAGCTTAATTGGCTTGTAAAAGTGTATGTATGTTAGTAGATTTTCTACTAAAACTTCAATGAAAATTGTTCTAGCCAAGATATTAGAATGAAAATTGCAATGTTTATTCACAAATAAATGAAATGAAATCCTTCGTACGTCCCTGGTGCACCAAACTTCCAATATTGGTCCGATTGAGACAAAATTGTACACAGTGTACTGTATTAGGTACTGATTGATGTATGCGAAGTTTTGTTGGAATCGGTTCTGATTGAGAAATAGGTCCAGATTGATATCTGCGAAGTTTTGTTGGAATCGGTTCAGATTTAGATATAGCTCGCATATGTAGTTTCCTCCGACTTTATGTAAGTGGTGCACCATACTGTCAATATTTGATCGATTGAGACAAAATTTTGCACAGTGTATTGAAATTACTACAGGTTGAGCCTTTGCAATATTTTCACCCTCTTGACCGATTAAAGGTCAACAGCTCATCTTTCTAACCATGTCATATTTTCCATGTCTTGTTTTTACGAGGTGAATAGGTTTTGGTTGATATGATCCTTGGAATATTGACCGACCATCATCTAAACAGTCGTCCTAATTAGTTGTCAAATCCCCTTCACCTTGTAAAATATGTGATGTTCTGCATATTACACTGGCCTCTAGAGGGACTGAAAAATCTGACAAAAATAAAGTTTTCGGTTCATTGCACCCGCTAAATACCATTTCATCGTCGTCGAAAATTATAGGCGTCGTCCTTGACCATAACTGGAAAAGCTGGTCGCTTTGAAATTCTACAAGTTCCAGATACAAGTTCCAGATATCAGATATCCTTCCTCATGTAAATTTTCGTCGTGTTCGGTCAATAACTGTAGCCTCTAGAGCGACCAGAAAAACAAACAAAAACACTGTTTTTGGTCCATTTCACCCCCTAAATACTAACGGATTATTACCACAAACAATAAAGGGTCTTCTTTCACCAGGACCCGGCCTCCATGCAAAATGTCGTGACAATTGGTCCATAATTGTGGCCTGTATCGTGTTTACAAATTACAATGTATTCAGAATTAGATGTACCTCCCATACACATTTTAGTTATATTTCATGTAAATGATTTAATAAGGTCTCTACTTTTGTCCGACAGGAAGTTTTGCATAGATTTCTTCTACCATACACTTTTTACTAGAAATAAGTTATATAGAAATAAGTTATATATTCATCTAAGTAGATGTAAAATCACTTCCATGCTTAATTTACATTAGAAATGTTGCACGATTTCACACCAACCAACAATAAATATATGCTCTTGGTCAGATTCACAAAAAAAAAAAAAAAAAAAAAAAAAAAAAAAAAAAATACAAGTGTTAAATTCCAACAGAAGGTAACACCATTCGTTAATGTGATAGAGCTCCAAATTTAAATTTAAATATAATATAAAATCAACAACTTGTTATACCCTACTCAACTATGTTGTCAGGGTATTATAGCTTTGTGCAGCCCCAAATGTTTGTAACGCCGCGAAATATTGGTCCTAGACCCACCTTTAAGTATACCGATCGTCATATCTCGACTAGCTGAGTCGATCTAGACATGTGTGTCAGTCCGTCCGTCCGTCTGTCCATTATAATTTGTAAACACGATACAGGCCACAGTTATGGACCAATCTTCACGAAATTTTGCATGTAGGATGGGTTCTGGCCAATGAAGACCCCTATTGTTTTTGGAAAAGATCGGTTAACATTTAGGGGATGAAATGGACCAAATACTAAATTTTTGTCGGTTTTTCTGGTCGCTCCAGAGGCCGCAATTATGGCCCAAATACCGCGAATTTTTGCATGGAGAAGGGGATCGGGCCAGAGAATAAGCATGCATGTTTTGATAAAGATCGGTCAATATTTAGCGGGTCAAATGGACCCTGACTTTTGTGTGAAAAATGACAAAATTTGTATTCTATGGCATACATATTTACTCCTGGAGGATGTAGACCCCAGGAGTTGATAGCGTATCCAAGAGGAGTGGTTGGCCTTTAAATTGATACCAAATATAGTGATGTATCTATAGATGTGGGAGTTACAGTCAAATATTTACAGGTGCTTACGTATTCAGATATTATTTAGTAACCCATTACCACATTAGAGGGAGAAATATCGCGCTGATGGCTTTGACATTTTTCATGAAGTTCCAGTTATGGTCAAGAACAACACCTATAATTTTCGGTGATGATCAGATTAAAATTTTGGGATGAAATGGACGGAGAATATAATTTTTTGTGTGTTTTCGAGTAGAGTATAATCCAAAAATCACAACACAACTCACCGTGAAGGTAATCTGCACAAGTAATTAGAAGGACTGTACTGAATATTCGAAAATAGTAAGGAAGAGGTGTTGTTAACCTCTAATCGGACAAGAGGGGGCAAATATCACGAAATA